TGCGTGCAGAGAAGGAGAGAGCGCTTGCTGCGTCATCAATCAGCATCGTGAACAGGGCCTGCGCACAAATTTGATGCTGATAATCTTCCAGCGTACCCACACGCATCACCGTCTCCGCGCCTCTCACCTCTCCCTTGTCTCGCACACAGCATACACTCACCCGCTCTGCCTAATTGACACGCGCCGGCCCCGTTCTTGTAGACAGCTTTGCGTCCGTCGGGAGACATTTCAAAGATCGCCATCTGGCCCGCTTGGAAGCGGCACCTTCGACTCGGGTGGCGCTGCACACAAGCTCGCCATCATTTGCAAATTCTCCAGCACAGTCTACGTGTCCTTCTAGTCCTTCGATCCAGTCGCAAAAGCTCTGAAGCTCATCGGCTGGCGGTGGCTACTTGGCGCTCGCACACCGTCCTCACACAACCGCCGACTCAAATGGCCATCTCGCCAATGTCAGAGCATCGCGACCGGACGACGAAGGCTGCAGCGTCACCAAGCCCATCGGCACCCGCATCTCGTCATAGTCTTGATACTGCTCCTTTCTATCCAGGCGGCCATGGGCACACTCAGCCCCTCGGAAAATCTCCGTTCACTCGCCCAACGAGTGGCGATGCCAACACCCCTTATGACACCCCGACCCACCAAGTTACCGGCAACGCCGCAAGACACAAGGTCAGCTTGCCCAGCTTTGCTTCACTAGATCGCGACAGTCAGCACCGTCCGCCTCCATTGCCCGCGCCGTCTGCGTCCATCTCCTCGTTTCGATTGCCCCTGGCCGGCTCGTCGGCGCAGTCAAATTCAAATTTGAGGTCGGAGATCAGTGGTCATGGCGAAATTGTGAACGAGGACAGTCCAGGGCGCAATCATCACCCGCACTTCTCTGAGCGAAGCACTCTGGACGACTTGCCCGCAACCCTTTCGGCGCCACGAGGCGAGACGAGCTTCGAAGCGTCCCAATCAGAGCGCCCCAAGGAGCGAGTTCAAGGTTCGGACGCAAGTATGAGCTTTGCGCCTCGTTATGGCATGCAAGCACCCAGACAGCCTAGTCCTGCTTCTCAGGCTGCGTTCAATGCCCGTGCCGCTTCTGTATCGACGGAGCATCAAAAGGCACTCGTGCGAAGAGGTCCAGATCGTGTCGCCTTAAGCAATTCCGGCTTGCCTGTGAACGGAGATGCGATGCAGATGGAGCAGCAAAACCGCGAGGCACTCTTGGACGCTGAGGCGAGCGCAGAGTACGGTTTGCGATGTCGTGACTGCGGTACAACCAGCACACCACTTTGGAGGCGCGCGGCCGATGGCAGCGGCAGTTCGCTCTGCAACGCGTGTGGTGAGTGCTTTCGATCTAATCCCGGTGTCACGATCCATACTCGCAACTTTTTGAAGGTGGCGCTGGCGCAGCCTCGCGTGTGTGGTCAGACCCGTCATTTTGTGTCGGCGCCTCGTGCCGTGCTCTTGGCGGCGCTTATCTCTTATCCTCCCACAGCGCGAGCTTTTTTGCTGACCTGCGCATACTTGCTCCTGTCACAGCTTTATATCTCAAGTCGCACAACATACCACGCAAGGTGAGCTCCGCACCGATGCCTACTTCGCCTGATACTCTCGCTCGTCCAAGGACAAATTCTGGCACATCGATACTGCGCGAGTCTCCGGCTGCACCTACCGAGCCCGCAGTGCCTTCTGCACCGCCACAAAACGGGTCGTGTCCTGGCGGCGGTTTCTGCAATGGCACGGGTGGAACTGCCGCCTGCAGCGGTTGCCCTGCCTACAATAACAATCTGGCGCATTCTGCCCGAAGATCCCAAGGACGGGCTCCACGCATGGAGAACAGCTCTACATTCAAGTCGATGAAGCCGAGCTCTGAGCCTGTCGGAGATGCGGAAAGCTTGCATCAAGCGGCAGAAGCATCTGCCATGCAAGTTTCTGAGGAAACTTCGCCAAAGCCGTATCCTTTCAAGGACCAGATAGGGGAGGATGGGAATGTTATGGCTTTGAGATGCACAAATTGTAGTACTACCACCACCCCCCTTTGGAGACGCGATGAGGACGGAAACAACATTTGCAACGCCTGCGGTGAGTCGCTACATCTTCTCCGGATGAGCAATCCTTTGCAATGGACGCTAACGATTGGGCTGCATGCTTTGCCTTCACAGGTCTGTACCAAAAGCTCCATGGCACGCAGCGTCCGATCGGAATGCGCAAGTCGGTTATAAAGCGTCGCAAGCGTGTGCCGGGAGGCAGCAGCACTGCAGCTTCGAAAGCTACGCCTGGGCCCCTCCTTCCTGACACTGCATCGCCCGCTCGCAGCACGCCACTAGACAAGGGCACGCCAAGCGTCAACACGTTTTCAGCTGCGCCGGAGCCAGCCACGACAGCTCGCGACGCGAATGATGCCGCACACGAAGCAGCCATGGCCTTGATGGAAGTCGGTCGCCCTCAGCAACTCCCTCAAGCCCATGCTTTGGGCGCGCAGAATTCAGCGTACGAAGACTACCACACACGAGGCTCCCCTCTCCCTCCACGTGGAAGACCAGACACGCCAGTTTCCGGTCGTCCTGTGAAAAAGCCCAGGAAAAGCGCAAGCACGTCTAGGTCTGGGCAATTTGGCGATGAGCCTCGTGGCGCTGAACGTCGCACGCATGTAGACGACCTCACACTGGACGTTCGCAGAAGCCAGGCTCCGATGCCAAGACGAGACCACCTCAGCCTCAACCATGCTGATTCGCGCGTTCCTTTCTCGATGCAGCAGCGACCGAGCTCCGCTGCCGACACTGCAGAATCTGGCGCGATCAGGCACCCCTCGGCATACTCTGCCACGGCGACGGTTGAGGATGGAGCGAAGCCCGCCAACGAAGCCAGCCAGCAAGGAGATAGAAAGGTAGTCACAGCATTGCCAGCGCAATCTGGCCAGCCTCATCACCATCATCGTGAGTCAAAAGAATGAAGTTGTCCGCGGCACATATTAAACATCGTTCCCCATGGCTGTTGATCTGTAAACCGCAGATCATCATCATCATCATCCAGCCCACGTCCACACTCATCACCCCGCCCACGTGCACCATGTGCCAGTCCGCCCGAGCGCAGCTGGCCTATCAAATGCCCCTGCATCCGCGCACCCTCTGTCGGACCTTGAGCGTCATGTCGCAGAGCTCGTTGCAGAAAAGCGTCGCATCGAAGACCTCATCGTTCGCTCGGAAGCGCTATTGCGGAGCGCGAAAGATGGGACCTGGACCCCTGGGCAGCCCTTGCCAATGCCTCACACTCCGGGCCATTCCCACCAGCCAATCATCAAAACAGCCTCCCACACTCACACTCACCCTGCGCACTTGCACGCTCACGTCCACCCTCACGCGCATCATCATCACACGCATCCTCATGCTCATGCACACCATGCGCATCCTCACGTTCATGCTTCACACGCCCACGCAGCCGCAGGGGAGCAGTCAAAAGCTCTGTCTATGGCGGGAGACGGAGTAGGCAGCAAGGCTGCCGACGCAGATGCGTTGACGGGCGGCGAGGACGGAGTAGAGTCCGTTGCCCAAAGCCAATCGCATAGCCACTCATCCAAGGACAGCAAAAGCCGATCCACTGACTCCGAGGACCGCGCAAGCTTCGAATCGCGCATGGCTCGGCTGCCTGTCAAAGCAGCCCTGCCTCTTCGCAGGACATCGAGCGTCGCCTCATCTGCCACGCCAAGCACACGCTCCGGCGCGAATCCAGTAGCGCTCGCGACAAATAGCTCTGTCCGACCAAGAATCTGGGGCACCAGTCCTCCTAGCGACTCTTCCCAAGCACGGTCCAAATATGAGGAAGAAGCAGAATCGGCAGAGTGGAAGCGGGCTTATGGCAACCGCCTGCTCGAGTCACCTGGTGATTGGAAAGGCCACGCGAAGCCTATCGCGCCGAGGCGCACACCTTCCAACGTACCAATTGCTCCTTCAAGCCCTGCGAGCAGCTCAAAGAGCATTCTCGCTGGCAGCGCTACTTCGGAAAGACGGGCCTTATCGTCCGCTGCATCGCCGACCTCCACCCAGACGTAAGGGAGGGGTGACGTCTACTGCGAAAGCCCAGTCGCGCCGGTCAACCCCTTCCAACATCAGCATTTGTACTTTACCCAAAACGCAAAATGAGAGTAATTGCCTTGCCCTGAGGGTGTGATGACTAGTGGGATCGCGCTTTGCAAGCGCATCGCTGAATCTCGCCTGCTCAGGCACCAGAAGCTGTACGTTAAGACAATCTGAAGGGATGGCATTGCGAGATGCCGAAAGCTGGAGACCATGTGCTGAGTCGGCGAAGCCCAGAAGCGATTCGTTGGACATCTCAGCGGTCTAATGCAACGTTTGGATGGGTGCCCGCATGTCCAAAATCTAAGTGTGATGACCCCCCTCTCCAATTTCCTGACTGATGCTTGTGTACTCCCATTGCCCGGCAGGTGGGGGGTTCTTAAGAGGCTCATGTCTGTAGGGCAAGGTATTGTACCACATCAGCTCGGAGTCGCGAGTGAAGTTGCGGCTGGATGTGACGAAAGGCATGCTCGAGGACCCGCGGTCGCGAAGTTACCGGTGACCACGTCGCCGCCTCTCAACCCCTAGAGAAGTCTGCCTGGTGTCCGCGGAAGACGAATTTTGAATGCATCGAGGCAGCGTAGCACTCATCATGTCCATCCACTCATTGACACTGGCCAATAGAAGCTCCCAGCCTCGACGGAGCTTCTCGCCTTGCCATTGCAACACTCACGCTTGCCACTCGATCATCTTTGTAGTCAGTGCCAATTCGTCCTGAGCTTGAACGAGGACTTCCTCGGCCTGACCCGCATCCACTTGCTCTTCAAACGCAGCAATAGCCTCCTCTGTCGCGCCGCCGCTCTGGACGCTCTGCAGCACTTTGAGCCTATGTTCCGTCAAGGCTTTGGTTGCTTGAGCGTAGACGCTATTCGGAGGAAGAGTGGAGAGCAGGTTCAAAGTGCTCGTGTAGGTGTCCTTGAGAGCGGACAGAGGGGTGGGATGTACATCCAGACCAGTGATCTCTGTTGACAGCTTGGTGCGCAGTGGCGCCGCTGCTCCTGCCGATCCGCGGGCTACTGCTGAAGAAGCAGATGCGCTGGCCGCTCGTAGGATACTTGTAGCGCGAAGCATCATGGGGTGCTTGGAAGTCGATGCGTGATCTGGAGTGTTTGTGGATCGTCAACAGGTGACCTATGAGCGCAGCGCTTTGGGCAATGGCGATCAGGCAAGCTGTGCTCTGCGCAGTACGTTCGTGAGCGCTTTGACGGGTAATCGTACTACAGATTCTCGGGCATCGCGAATGGCGAATGGTGAACAAGGTCGCTAAGATACGCAGTGTAGGTAGGCACCATGTCATCGCACGGCCGTTGCTGATTGGGTCCCGTGATCAATGGTTTCCAAAGGCCATCAAGCCACGTGGCAAAGGTTTGCGCAAGCCATCTCCGCGGATTTGCGCGCATGCGTCAAAGCGCGCACTGCTGTAGCATGCATGCATGCTGTGCGTGAATATCCCGACGAGCGCGGCGAGCTTGCCTTCATGAACCGCGCGATTTTGGACGGCGTGATCAATTGTTGTGACTGATGTGCTGCCGCTGCTCCGCCATCGCACGAGCTTGTGTGCTGTCCGCGTATAATAGCATCTGCAGCACCAGAAGTCAAATATGTAATCGCGCGCGCGTCGCTCAGGCGCGCGTGTGAAATTGATCCGGCCGGGAAAGCGCGCGCACGATCGAGCTGTGCCCGCCGCGCCGCGTAACTATAGGGAGCTCACGCATGCACGAAACAAAATGGCTGAATCACGAACGCGGGACAGGCAGGCAGGCGCAGGCAGGCGAAGGAGCGAGGAGCGAGGAGCGAGGAGGGGAATGAATCAGT